TATCTTGCTGCCTAAACTGGAGTTAAGAGGCCCGTCTGAGCTGAGCTGACAACCACCACTTAAAAAGAAAAACATCAAACGTGCCCTTACGCTGAGCTTTCAACCTCGTCCAGATCCCTATTGGGAGTTTTCCACCAGAAACACACAAGTTTGTGGAGCAAACGACCAAAATAACCTCCTGTGTGCTTCGGCGTGCCTCCTCCGAGCGGTTTCGCCTTTTATGAATTTATGTTCTGCGCTTATCTCTTGCAAAGCTCTCGATAACAGAGTCTACCTGCCATACGTATGCCTCTGAATACAAGTCATAAATCTATTAGGCAGTGCAACGATTAGATCATTCAACTCACAGGCATATACAGCACGAGCATCAGACGGACAGTTGTTCAATGGTCTTTTGTGGTTGCAGCTCGTTTCTTAACCTGGCAGCTGAAGACAAGAGGATACACGTCACCAATAAAAGAGAACTTGGAAAGAACAACGGCTTCACAGTTGCACTGAGATAAAAGCTCTTTTGGCACTTGACCTGCTGCGTCTGCGTGTTCGGAGGTTCAAACTCAAACGACATTTGAAACAGAAGTTTTTTTGTTGCCATTTGTCTCCGCTGAGTCCTGCAGAAAAAGAATCAAGTCTTTGGTCTGTTGTGGTTTTGAGGAACTAAAAGGCTACCGTTGAGTGAGGACAGCATAAAAGAATGAAGTCAGCATCTTTTAAACTCAACTTTTAAATCAGATTGTTTGCAGACACATCGAAGCTGCTCAGACTACTCTGCAGCGTTAGAAACAGAAGGACTCTACGATAATTATACAGTGCGGAGATACTCCTGTACATCCTGCAGAATACTGAAGTCATGCCTCACGCCGACCCAGTAATCAAGTGAGTCAGGAGGAAAGAATGTCTAATAATGGAAAAGCAAACTGTCTCTCTGAGTGATCAAAACAACAGTTTTCATACCACCAGTCACTGTCAAGAGGCGGACACAGACAATCACTGTTTGGGGTTTCAGGAATTCGTCACTTGGTATTATAAGACTAGCAGTAGTAATCAATTATTTTTGGTCCTTATTAAGAATTTTCCAAAAGAAAAAGCACATAAAAAACAAAATGACAATAGGGCGTTAAATTAAGTGAGACAAACTGCCTTGATGTTGTATGCCTCCGCCAACCAGTCAAGTTGTAGTTTACATCCACGTCTGTCAAAAATGTCATCATTTAATTACAAAATTGCTTGAAGTTGTCGTAGTTTACCCTTTGCTATGACCCGCCCCTCAGTTGCTACTCCGTCAAGCTGTCAGAGCTACCGCGGACGTACTCTGCTAACGTTAGCGCCACAGGTTTTTACGTAACCTTTTATAAACGTATATCTCCTTCCAACCTCTCTGGGTAACGAGTATCACTATTACACAACGTTGAACCACGATGAGCTTCAAATCCACTAAACCAGCCTGAAAAAGGACATCTGAAACCATCAATGAGAGTCTGAGGAGCAGAGACGGATAGTTGTTAGAGCCGACCAACGCTACGCTACGATTGGCCAGTCTGCTTTCCCAGGGGTTCCTTTGACCATCAAAATATTAGTTCATCCTTCAGTCCGGTTGGACATTTGTGCCAAATTTGAAAAGAATTCCCTCCAGTTGTTCCTGAGATTTCACCTTCACAGGAATGGGATGGCAGAACAGACCCCAAAACATAAGGCCACGTCTTTCACCGGCGCGGTGGCATTACAATGTGTAGGCAGAAGCTTATTATACATCCTATTTGTACTAAGAAGCAACTCATTCACTCCTACGTTTTGGTTTTACAAACTGTTATTAGACAGTTTGAAGCCGGAGAATGAGGCGGCAGTTATCTGATTTGCAACGGGATGATTTTCACTTTGATCCAGTAGCTCGACAGGCTCTGTGAGTAATCAGTCTACAGCTGAGGACTCCTGACTTTTACACACTCCCAGTGAGCACAAAATGTGTGTACTGTTAAGAATCACATGAAACTAAAAGTTTCACATCTGTTCATCAAAGACGCTAGGAGCCAGAAGATCATCAGCTCATCAGCTATTGAACTGTTTAACAACAACAAAGGGCCGAATGGCAGCACGCCAGCCGTCCTACCAGAAATGTTACAAGTCACATTAGGATGTGTTCAAAGACGAGTTGTGAATGGGCTCTAATTTGTGCCAAAGAATTTATTAAAACTCGTGTGATCACCTCAAGATGAGATGCCTCAAAAGGATCGACAGCAGATCATACTATTTGATCACACATGAAAACATCCACCTGGAGAAAAAAAAAAAAAAGGCTCTTTGTTTTTTTGCGACTTCCACTTTCCCACAGGTGCTGGTAACAGGTGGGGGTCGCGGGGAGCTGGGAAGAGGCATCGCCAGCGTGGCCGGCTGCCACAGCGGGTCGGGGGATCATCTTCCGCCCAGCTGCTGATGCCCTGTTATCCCCGAGCCATTCATCACGGCTCGCTGAGAGTCAGATATGCGCTGCCCCCGAACCCCCCCGAAGCTCCCAGCATTCCTCACTTTCCCCTGTGGATCTCCGCCGCTGATAGCTGTCAGGGCTGCACTGTCGTACCCAAACACCCACCCACCATGTATTTGCATGTATTGAAACTGTGCTACGAACCACACATCACTCTGCATGTCTGTCCGTCTGATCTCTTCACTGCAGCCTGTGTCTCCCAAACCAATGCATACGGTATTGAACTTTTTTGCGTACTTTACACTTTTGCCAACCAATTTGCAATGCCATGCCGTACATTTTTAGATTTCTATAATCTTTCTACAAAGTCGTTGGTTTCCATTATGTTTTGTGTAGTGTGAAAATCTGTTAGTTAGCTCTTGTGTTGTGTAATCGATGCCAGTTTATTCTATATCTTGTGTTCTAGTATTATGTCCAGGAAGATGCACAAGTGCCCATATGAGCATGCATGGGTCATGCCGTTCCACTTATGGACATTTAGTGGAGGTAACTCACCAACGAAGAAGACAGAGCAGGGAAAAAGAAGAGCTCCAGCCGATATAAACATCTCACTATAAAACAAGGAATCTCTAGCTTTCTGTCCGTCTGTGTGTCCTTCGCATATTTCGAGAACCGTTCAACCGATCGACTTCCCGGTTGGTGGGTGTATTGCTGGGTACTTAAGGGAGTGCAGTGTCAAATTTGGTGCAATTTGGACATGCAGCACATAGTAATAAACATTGCATAAACAAGCAAACGGCGCTCTGTGCAGCGGCGAGCATGTCGTCTGGGCTTTAACAGACTGCGGCTCATTGACTGCAGTGTACTTTTGCTACTGGATACACTAACGTTACCACCGAACTCTTCTTCACCTGGTGTGAACACCAAGACGCTTTCTACTCAAGGTGTTATGGTGCACGGCTGAGGTTCGCTGCCAAGCAACAAAAGCAAATAAACGTTCCTACAATGAAGGCGCGTGCAGCGGTGTTCAAACTAGTTTCTAAAACAAAGAATATCGTGCATAGTAACACACACACACACACTCACACACACTCTGCTGTTACTCCTGTATGTGCTTGCCCTTTGAAAGCATATTCAGTGTATTAAAAAAATCCAGGAGCCTAAGCTAATCTGCTGCCTGACTGATGCTGAGGTTAAGTAAAGATGAAGTCGGCGCTAGCAGTGCTCACATTGACGGACCCTCCGGCAGGGTGGGCGCGGGTTAACTGCGTGTCATTATTGATCAGGTGATTCAACCGATTGATTGAGTCAATGTTGATGGATTGGAGGTGAGTGACTATAGGCGAGGCAACGACTGGCTTGCGGCAGCATGGGGAGGAGGTTACTTCAGTGAAATGCATATAAAATCCAACACAAATACACCAGCCGACACTTGCAGTCTTCCCTGGTGAGGCCGGTGCTGAAATCATCTTGACTTTCAGCATGTTTAAATGGCTTTTCCTCCACAGTACTCAACAACTAAAACACAAAATGTTCAGTTGCATTGAGGTAAGGTGACTGACTCGAACAGTCAAGACCCTCCCACTGGTCTTTTCTGTAGGTTTAGGATCATTGTCCGGATACTTGGCTAAGTTCACCAAATATGGATGTAAACCGCCTCAAATTAAAGCTGAAAGTCTGCTCTTTAACCTTACAGTCACTGTTCCATTTCATGTCCAATGTGCCGAGACAAGACTATGAAAAAGGTGCCACTTCCATCCACAACCATGAGAATGCAAAACCGGCACATAAGGATCTTTGAAGACGCCTCAAAAATAATACTAATCACACCATAATCAGGAATTTGCTTCTTCACATGTTCCTATGATACAGACTTACATGTATGAATGCTCTGAACTAGAGGGGTCAGAGGTCAGGAGCAGGTCATGCTCCACTGTCTTGCTCAAGGACACTTGAACACAAGGACACAAAGGGTCCAGTGGACACACCGGCTGCCTGAACCTTGAGACCACCCAGTTACTGAGACAGTCTCTCCAGCCAACAAGCCAACCTGCCTGCAGTGAATAAACATCTAAAGGTCTGTAACTCTAAAAGATAAAAAAAACACCAAGGCATGCATATACAACAGATGACTGTTAGAGGCGGATTTTATGTCTGAAAGACGTCGTAAAACCACATCATGATGACGCTCTAACTGTTGCTGATCTACAGAGACTGTCAACATCACTCTGGATAAAATGTTTGTGCTATGATGTTGGATGTTATATGCATTATAATATTTTATACATATTAATTACTACTAAAATTAGCTAAAAAAAAGAAAGAAAAAAGAAGCCCTGCAAGGCTTGCAGTATCGCACTACATCGCGATATATTGTATCGTCACCCCTGTATTGTGATTTGTATCATTTCGACAAATTCTTGCCAATACACAGCCCTTTAAAATACTGTTTAACGAAGAATGTGGCCAGTGTTTGGCATCAGCTTCAGTGTGAAGAAGAAAAACATATATACGGTATTACCTGGACACCAAGACAGGTCAAATGCATTGATAATAAGTACACAATAAGCCCAGCGCTTACCACATTGTAGCAGGACTTCTTGTCCGATCCAGTGAAGTGGTACGGGTCGACTGTGTTGCACCTCTGCATGTACATCTTGAACATGTTATTGATGTGAGTCAGGGACATGATGCAGACGGCCGAGTTCGGGGTCGGCTCCGGGGAGTTCGGCTTTCCCCGGGCGAAGGCGGCAAACAGCACGTCATCGCCTTCCTCCACTTTCAGCTGCTTCTGCAGCTCAACGTCGTTGCCCACCTTGGTGACGTGGGCCGCCTGGAGGATGTTGAATACCTTCACATCTTCTGTGGAGCGCCGTCGCCTTTTATCGGTGCTGATGCACTCAAGGGGCATCTCCACGTAGCGGCGGATCTCGATGTCTCCGGAGCACATGCGGACTATGCGGGTGTGGTAGGCCTGGGAGTCCCTGCTCACCCGCTGCACGGTGAGGAAGTAGGTGAAAGGTCCACTGTGGAAGGAGTAAACGTAGCGCAGGTAGTAGTTTCCACGTAGAGATGGGATCAGGTCCATGTGTGAGCGGGTGGAGAAGAAAGTGAATCCGTTTTGGCTCGTCTTCATCTTCCGCAGAGCAAAGGTGTGGGGATGCGGTGCAGTGGCCGACACGTTTCCTTTGCCCGGGATCTCAGAGTTCCCAACAAAAAACTTGATGACATTGCTTTCCACATTGAGCACCTGAGAGCCATAAGGGCTGACCACAACATCCAAGTCGCTGGGCTGACCCTTGCGCTGCCTCACCTTGTCGCCAAAGCAGTACACTTGTTCGTCTACGGTTTTCGGGCTGATGCCGTCGTCCAGGACATGACGGCGGCAAACACCATTGTCTGCCGAGCCGCAGCTGAACAACCCCTTGTCGTAAATATTCTCCACCACCAAAGCGATGTTGTGGTTGTCCACCCTGCCACCGCCGCCAATTGCGCTGGTCAGTTTCTGGCCACAGGTCTCGTTGGCAAGCAGCGGCCCCGTGCGGTACTCCGACAGCTTCGTGAGGTTCGGGGCCAGGGCGTAGATTCTGTTTACAGCCCCGACGTAGATGATCCCATCCAGCGTCACCAGGTTCTGGATCGGGAAGTCTGCTGTGAAAGTCGGGAGATTGTAGGAGACCGAGAGGTCAAGTGCGTTGGTCTCGGATGACTTATCACACTGGCCCTGTGCGCCGGGACACAAGGCCCACAGCAGCATGACGGCATGAAGCAGGCAGAGATTCATCCTGTTCCAGAAATAAGAGACATGACAAATTAGTTGATGAAACATCCCTGCTGGAACACAGAGAATGAAATATGTCCCTCATGAATATCTTTGAATAGGTGGCCTCAATTGTCTGGAGTGGGAATGTGTGGGAGAAAGGCGCAGGCTGCCGAGAAGAAAATAGAGGGATACCAAAATCCCTTTTTTAGACTCATAAATGGAACTGTGTCAGGGTATAAAACCAGGGTTTACTCACTCCACCACAAGCAGTGAAACCATTCATACTGAAGTGACTGAAGGCTCTGTGGTGACACAAAGCTTTAACATCAGCCTCCTAATCATCAGCGCTGCAACTTCTGACTCCACTGACCCAAGACAATCCCCACAGCCAGACCTGGGTGAGCACTTCTGCGGTGCTCGAGCTCCGCTCCCTCCGAAGTGACCACAGTGGGAGGCAGAGCAGTGAATCACACAGAGAGCAGCTCGCTCTGCGGGACGACGCAACCACAGGCCTAAGTTTAGACAACGAAGGGCCCGAGGGAGCGGAGATAAACTCAATTAAAACAAACGAGGTCGTAAGGGGGACCATCCTGCAAGATGATAAATAACCCCAGCAAACTAAATGGTAATCCCCTGGGAGATGCTTTTAGAGTGTGTGGGGTGGGGGGCAACAACAGAGAATTTGCAAAATGTGCATTTGCATGCTCCCTATCTGCATGCGGTTTCACCGCGATCCCTTGAAAACCAAAATAATGCAAAAGCATCCAGCACAGTGAGTTTGTATTTTTACATGCATGCCCACACTGTTGCATTGTGGGCACATTTTGACTGAAGTCTCGCTGCTTTTTTGTTTTGTTTTCGGTGTTTTAGAGTTGCGCTTTATCTTATCATTGTTTTTGGGGAGAATATATAGAGACAGAAAGACAGGTGCTTCAAGGCAAACATCTTATAGAAGTTTAGAGCAGTATTAACAAGTGCCAAAGACATAATATAAGACAATAAGGCACCACTGTAGGGAAAATAATGGCGATATAGTGGAAAATACAGATTGAAAAAGTATAAATTTAGAACCTAAATCACACACAAGATTATGGGAATATTAGACATTATTAGAGCTTTATTTCTTTGAAGGAAATGGTGAGGTGAGTATCGTCTTGTTTTGGTCTACAAAGTATGAGTAATAGTGGGCACATCATTGCGCACCTGCACCAAGCACAATCAATGTAGCTCCCCATCTCACGGCTGTTGTTTTCAAAAGGACAAAAGGCGGTGGGAAACAGTGAAAATGTTTTCGGTTTGAGAGGAAAGTGACTCATGGCGAAAGGTCTCAGAACACACCGCTGGTGAAATTGTGTTAGGGGCCAGAAAAAACAACACGTTTCAAAACTGTGATATCCAGAGGTGGTGGAGGAGGAGGAGGAGGAGAGGGGGATCAGGAGTTTCTGTGCGTTTTTACGCATGGAAATACGGTTTGAGTGAAATGTAAAAAAAGAGAGAAAAGTTAAGAGATTGTGAGGGAAAAGTAGAGATAATAAAACTCGCCTGTTAGATAGCAACAGTGCTGTCCGATGCCTTGATTCAAATCATATTCCGCTGGTCTCTCCGGGAGCGGGACTTCTTGACTTTCTCATCCAAGTCAAAAAAAGGATCGCTGAGAATTTTCTCTTCGCTTCTCCGTGAGAGAAAAAAACTCCCAGAAAGAAATAGTCCGATTTGTTTTCCTCACTCTGTCTTGTTTTCCAGTGTTTAAAAAGTGTTTTCTCCAGCAGAAACCCTGTGTGGCTCAACACTGACTGACTGACTGCATCCAGCAGAAACACGCTGCTGCTGCTGAACTGCTCTCTCACATCTCAGCTCCTCTCTCGCGTGGCGCGTAAACGCTCCGCCTCTTTCTCACCAAACTCTGTGACGCGTCCAGGTGGTGCCGCGTCTCCTCGCTCTGCGGAGCTCAGGTGAGACACGCAGACCCAGAAAAACCAAGCAAACAGTAAATAATGAGCTGTAGTTAGTGGTAATCATGTGGCACAGAAGCACCAATTACAACAAGACCGACTACATTTCCAAAGGATGCGTTATTTAATGTTTTATTGTGGGGTTTTTGTTATGTATCATGTAATGTTTTATTATAAAATGACCTCATATAACTTAAATAACATTGATATCACCTTTTATGTCAATTACTATACATTGCATGTAAATTCCTAGTTACCTGACATAAAACTACTGGGTTTGGAGGTATTTATCCACCGGATCTTCTTCACACAAGAATATTCTTGAACCAGGGGCGTACACACTGACAGTGCAGGCAGCGGCTTGCACTGGGGCCCGCTGGACCCGCAGAGAGCCTAAATCTAAGCAAGCGTTTCTGTTGGAATTCACAATATTGACGACTGCAGTTTGATGCTGGGTTACCCACCGCGTCAGAAAGTTACACCAAGAGGTCTGACCGAGTCATAAGACCTCACGCTGAATCTGTAAAGGTGCCATTTGCTATATATTCCTATAGATTTTCTATATAAACTATTTCCAACATGGTTTTCATTTTTCGGGCAACATTGTCAGTAACAATCTAAAATAAAATGATATTCTTATTCTACACAAAGTAAAACAAAAAAGAACTATACAAATTGAATTAAAATAATAATTTCTCATTTTCTTTGGTATTTTTGTCAAATACAGATGTGAAATGATGATTGCTGAGTAATATGTTTGTTGATGTTGACCAATGTCAAGTCTCTATTTGATCATGTGACAAGATGATAAGGTATACGACAAGTTTAGGCGCTAAATCTGTCAAGACTGACGAGCTTAGCACGTGTCTCAGTGTGTCTCAGCAATGAATCACAGTGGCCAGCACAAAAAAAATCCTTTGTCCCACTTCCTGAAAGGAGGGCAGTAGGAATGAAGACTGTAAACCCTGATAACAGAGTGTGGATGCAGAAGTAGGTAGACAGAGCTGCTGCAAACCGGCTGTTTGCACTCACTTTCTGACAGTAGGGACATGAGAGGGTTTAATGAGACAGACAGTCGGGCGTGTTCAAGTGGGTCGACGAGAGATGTGACGGGATCTGTGACGTCTTCTGTGTAAAACTAAACATGTTGTACAAGAGTAGTTTCCTCTCTTCTCCTTTTTCCTGTTTTTAACGATGGAAAGGCTCAGCTGGTTTTACATGTCTGCCTCATTCATTCTCACCAGTGAATCTGATCATCGGTAACTTCATACGGAGTCGCTTTCTGGACATACTCCTTAAATTCATCGGTTTTTCAACTCTCAACTCCCTGATTTCCCAGAGGACAGTGCTGTTGGCTCTGACATCACACCAGAGAGCCCTTAAACTGTCAAAGTACATCATCAGCCTGAGACCATTGAAGAGGAATCTTTATTTACAACCATGTTCAGCTACAAAACATAACATTCTGGTGCAATTTTGAGAAACAAAGCCGAAAGTCAAATTTAATTTTATATCTGAATTTATGAAATCAGTGCTCAGAGAAGACGGTTAAAGGAAGAGTTTGACAGTTATTCACTGTCTTAGTTTAGTTCAGCATAAAGACTGAACACAGGGAGAAACAGCTAACCTAACGGTCACGAATGAACATCTTGTATCTTGTTTGTTTAATCCGTACAAAACTTGAAGTGTAAGAACAACAATTCGTGGTTTTACAGGAGGTTATGTGCAGGACGTAGTGCCTTCTTTGAGTCTTTTTGTTGAGACCTGAATCTTCCCTTTAGGTTCACAAAGTTTAAGCGTAATGATGATCAAATTTAAGCTCAGGAACCAAACTGTTTTACTTGATACAGACACTTTGTGAAAATCTGGCTGTCATAGATGGATTACTAAACAGATCTACTGGGCACAGGCCCAGGGGCCCGAAGAGTCAGGGGCCACCCTGACCTACAGCTCCAAAATGTCACTCAAAGAGACACGTATCAACCAGGAATACACTCAAAATGACCACAAAGAAACATAAAACGACTAAAAAGAGACACCAAACAACTACGAAGTGAAACAAAACAGCTTAAAAATGAGACAAAACAACCACAAAGAGACTCAAAATAACTAAACAACTACAAAGTAACACAAAACAATTACAAAGAGACACAAGACAGCTAAAAAAAGATTCCTAATCTTTCTTAGGTCTTCTTATACTTGTTACTGGTGAGCAATACTCCTTCGCTCGTCTGTGTTTATTGGAGGAACTGTGTTTTTGTCTTACCTCTGGGCATTTCTGACGCAGTTGCCAAGGGGTGTGTCTGACACAGGGTGTGTGTGTGTGTGTGTGTGTGTGAC